ATCAAAGTGCAAGTAGATAAATAGGTACCGCTCCTGCGGGAAGGTAAACGGTGTTTCCATGTGCTGTACACCGGCTTCCTCAGCCAATAAAGTGAGATGAGCGCCACAACCCCAGAGTCGGTCACGACTGGACCTAGTGGTCAGGGGTCCCTTTACCTTTACCGCAAGACCACTGCCCCCATACATACTTAGTTGGTCTCTAGGGTGCTACTGGACAATTTTTTAATTTTTAAAATTTATTTCGACATCACAGAAGGGGCAGTCTACAGCAGAATCCTGTCTGGCAGGAAACCTGTTAATGGCTTTACCTGGACAGCCTGGCTTTACCTGGACATTCTTTTCTGATGATAAACACTTAATTCCTGGGTCCAGGTCACAGGCTCACCCTATTCATACCCAAATGTACCCTTAAGGCAGGATTTGTGAGCACAGAGACAATGGGGAGGCTTTTCCCATTTCCATTCAAACTGCAGGGGAATATCTGAGGTCACTGAAAGAGTCAAAATGGCTTATAACACTTTCAACTGAGCATGCCCAAAAATATCAGCTGTGTATTCCAGTAAATTGAAGCTAGAGTGCAGTAGTTCTGCGTCTACGCCAGAAGAGCTGGCTGGATCAGGTCAATTGTCCATCTAGTCTACTATCCTCTTCTCAAAGTAGTCAACCAGGCTGACTACTTCAGGGAAGCAGGCAAACAGGTCACAACCACAAGAACACTTTCCCCTCCTGCAGTTTCCAGTAACTGGTAGAAGAATTACTGCCTCTGACCATGGAAGACAGCACAGACACCATGTCTAGAAGCCATTGATAGCTTTGTCCTCCAGGAACTTATTCCTTCACATCATGCCCACACGCAAGCCAGCACAGACATACCGTATTTTTCCGTGTATAAGACTAGGGGTTTTTTTTACCTAAAAAATAGGTTTAAAATTAGGGCTCGTCTTATACACAGGTAGTGCTGAGGGGTGTTTTCTTAATTTGGAGTCCCCAAAAACAGGGGGGCATCTTATACACGGGTTGTCTTATACATGGAAAAATATGGTGATTATTAGGATACAAATTTTAGAAAATCAGCGCTTCTGAATTCAAGGCCTCACATCTTTTAAAGATCTGATAACTCACAAATTGCTATCATCCATTTTACCCAGTCATTTAATTGCTTAATTGTAACGTGAGTCCCAGAAAGAAGACAAGCCTCCCTCTTCTCCACAAAATGGTGGCAACCATGACTCTCTCAGGGGCTCTTTCGGGGCATCTCCAGAGAGTGGCTCCCCCAGCAGCTAAAGCCCATCCCGGCCAGAGATCAGCTGTGTCTCCATTGCAATGGCATTATCTCAGGCAGGCAGGCATCCACCTGGCCTCCCCCACCCCCACAGCCTTTAACTCTGCCTTTTATTGCAGCCCGCCCCCTTCCATCGCGCTCTCTCTCTTCATTCAGCTGGTTTTTGTTTTCAAAAGCTAGGAGAGAGAAAGCTGAACCCCCTCCCTCCACCAGATGATGGAGGCCAGATGATGCCAAGGAGGGGCTGCCCGGAGGGCGCATGCGCACAGGGAGGGAATTGCGTGGAAGTCTCGAACCACTTTGAAAACATTTCTTCATGTTGCAAAAACCAGATCGGCCGCCCCTCCCTCGGCCCTCCTCCCACAGAGCCCTCCCTCCTGCAAAATTATGCCTGTATTTTGCAGAGGGCCAACCCCCCCGAAAAAAGCACGAAACACCTCCCTCCTCTTCCTCCTCCACCTCCATCGTTTCTCTTCTCATGTTGTTCTAGATAAACAAGGTTTCTCCTCCGTCTACCCCCCCACCCCCGACCATAATGGCTTCCTGTAGTTCACGTTAAATCCCCTTCCAACCGCCCGAATCATCCCACAGTCAAGAAAAGTCGCCTCGCAAAGGGGAATGCAATGCGTTTGGAATGCAAGTCTGGACTTGTGTTTACCAGAGAAAAGAATGAGGAGAGAGGGGCTGGGGGGGGGCGAGCGGGCGTCCTGGCCGGATGAATCCAGGCGCACGGCTGAGCGGCTTACTGGGGGTGGGGGGAGCATAGATCGGGGGGGGGGGCGGAGGCGGACAATGCGCGAAATTGCAGGCTGTCAGATAGGATTCCATCCACGAGCAGGGAGGGAGCGGGGAGAATGTAGAGGTTGGTCGGGGCGGGCGGGGGGGGGGAGCGACTAGTCAAGGCAAAACATCCTCCTAGACTTATGTGGGGAGATAACTGGTAACTAGGCAACCCACGGAAAGAAGAGCCGTGCTAGCAGGTGGTTGGCACGGCAACAGCAAGGCCAATCACAGCCGCGCAATGGACGGGTTTGCAAGACAGACAGACTGCGGGGCATGTGCAAGAAGAGCCACAGCGGTGCCAACAAGTGGGGCGTTGAAAGGGTGGGGGAGGAGAGGGAGATGCAGCTGGGGAGGCGGGAGGGAGCGCCTGGCGAAGGTAGGGTGACGATGACACTGAGCTCCCGGGAACTCCCGCTGAGCACCCAAAGCAGGCATCGCAAGCCCCACCACGCAGCAGGAGGGCGCAGGGTGGGTGTGAGCGATGCCCGGGCGCCGGAGCAGAGTCTTGCCAAAGAAGCCGCCCTCTTGGCCCGTCTCTCTCCCGCGCCCAAAGTGTTGGGCTGCAGTTAATGCTGGTCTGAAGGGAGACACTCTGCGAATGCTCAGAGGCTGGCTCCTGGTTATTCCCTCTGTCTGTCCCTTTTATTTATTTTACAGATTTGATCCCCAAAATCCCAAGGGGTGATAAGGGGGCAACATATTTAGGAGCACATGCCGCCCCAGGTCGGATGCTTGTTCACTCAGGACAGTTTTGGCCTGGCGCGGACTGGGGGTGGGTGAGTGGGAAGGCCCCGGGGTGCTATGCCCAGGAACGGGAGGGAGCTGGTGTAGATTTGGAAGGGCTGCCGACGCGCAGAAGGCTCGAGCGGGACCCGTCCGGCTCCTCGGGGCAGAGACCCGTCGAGTGCGAGGGGAGGACGATTCGGGCGGGGCATCGGGGGAGGCATTTGCTCCCCGGTCACGTCTCCCGCGGCGCCTGGAAGCAGCCCGGCTGCGCTGGGCGGGGAGGGTCTTCCACGCTCGCGACGACGGAGCCCATCAGGCAGCCGTCGGCCGGGCCGGTGTCTCCTGGAGTGGGGGCCGAAAGGCTGCGCTACGTGGCTACCTTCCCGTCGGGGGCCCCGCTTACCGGGCAGGCGGCGCGAGGGCGAAGGCGGCTCTCGGGCGTCTGGCGGGGCGAGACGAGACTGGGCTGCAGGGGGGCCGGTCCGACGACGAAGGCGGCGATCGCAGGGCGAGGGCGGCGCGCGAGGCTGGCAGGCTGGGTTCGGGTGGCTCCTTTCCTTCGGGCGCTGCTGCGCTCAAGCCCGCGTCCCCTCGTGGCTGGCTGGGGCTGGGCGTGCCACGGGCTCGGGCATGGCTGGGCTCGGCTGAGAAAGAGGGAGGGAGGCGGGGGGGGCGAGCTGCGCGGAGCCGGGGAGGCGGCGCTGGCAGACAGACGGAGGGAGGGAGAGCGAGCGAGCAGGGGCGAGCTGGGGGGTGGTCTCTCCGCCACCTGCACTGATGTCAGAGCGTGTTTCTGGACGCAGCCCCGAGACCGCCAGTCTCCGTTTCGGAGCGGCCAGCGACTGCACCGCCTGCCTGCCTGCCGCGGTCTCAACGAAGCTCAAGCAGACCCTCGACGCCATGCCAGCTGCCTGGCGGTGCTTAGGAGGAAGGCAAAGCGCTCTGCCCATGCTCAGCGGTGCCTTCACCGCGATTGCAACTACGGCCAGCCTTGGGAGGACTTGGGTTGTTCCACACTACTCTGGAAACGGCTCTCCCGCTGTGTCTCCCACCCCACCCCGGACCTCGACGTTTCATGAGAGTACCGCCGGTCCAGCGAGCTTACGCCGAGCACCAGAAGCCTTGCCGCGCGTACCCTGCCTTGCTCCCTCCCTCGTCCTGACTGAGGGGGGGGGGCTACAGCGAGCCAGCAGCATCAAGTGGCGACTTGCCATTGCGTGCCTCTAACCGTCGGGAAAGCTGGTCAGCTCTAGAGGCGGGAGAAGAGTCTCCGGCAGGGCAGCCTAGTTTTCCGTCGGGGACAGAAGACAATGCGATTCTCCACCTCTTCCGCAAGGAGCAAGCAGTTGGCTTGGTTTGGCTGCCCAGCACACCACCATTAGCTATCTAAGGGGCTGCCTGTCTGGATGGAAGCCTCCTCCTCCTGGTCACTGGAGCAAGAAGAACAACAGGAGGCCCTGCCTTGTCCACTCCCTGCTATCCAGCTGTAGCAGCTTTCCAGGGACCGAGCAGGAACAGCAGGTGCTGAGCTTTGGCAGCTCAATATTGAAGCAATGCGTACCAATGTGGAAAATGCCTAGGTCTTTTGGGGGCTAGTACAACTGCTGCTGCATCAACTGGGCAAATGCCAAGCTGATTGGCTTCCCTGTTCCTGACCAGGCTCTTTCGAGATTTGCATTCAAGACCAAGGTGCATCAACATCACACACAGCCACACAATACCTCTAGCAGAGGGGCGGTGAACCTGCTGTTGCTCCTCCCTGACCATTGGGCTGCCTGTCAGGCTGATGGGAGTTGGAGTCCAAGAATACCAGGAGGGTGTTCCCTCTGCCTGCACACCCTACTTGCCTTCCCTTCCTTGGGGGCATTCAGTGCCTCTCCCTCTTCTTCCTTTAACAAAACAGGTGGCTCCAAGGTTTGCCAGACGGATGCCCAATGGCTTCTAAGCCCTAGAAATCCTGCTGACCTTGCAGTGCTGGAGAATGGTCTTTTAGGAGCCTAACCCAGTAATTGTTTGGCTTCTGTGGGGAGTGGGGGGGGTGCAGTCTCTTGGAGAGGAGGCTGCTTGCAGGAAAGACACCACTCGTTAAGGGACTGCCCATCTGTGTAAATTGACCAGGAGAGCATTTTTCAAATGCAAAGCCCAGAACTCTGGTTTATCCAAATGTAATTGAATGAGACGACAGGCAAAAGAATTTCCTCAAACAACACATAATTAAATAATATAATTCATTTTCACAAGAAGTGGCAAAAACCACCAGCTTGGGTGGCTTTAAATGAGGATCAGGCAACACTGTGGAGGAGAGAGGTCTGTCCCAAACAGCTAGGTTGAGCCTTTGTAGTGAGAGGAAGTTACCTCCTAGTACCAGATGCAGGGGGCTAATCGTCAAGCTCTGCTTGTGAGCACCCAGATGCACCTGGGAAGTCCCCGGATTCTGGATTTGATGGGCAAGAAGGTCACCCTGTACATCATCCTGTGCCCTAAGATCAGGAGAAGTGGCTCTCCCTCCAACACCAGGAAAAAGTCTAAACCCAGGAGCTACGTAAATGCGATTTCAGGAGAAATAATTGCCCAACAGTTACTATCAGGCTAATGTTGAAATGTGTATAAACATTAGAGGCAATTGTGGCATGGGGTGTGGTCTTTAAAGAGCATGTTGCTGCACGAGGAGCCCCCTAACAGCCCCAGTTCTTTGGGGTAGGCACAGTACTAAGGCTGACTCCTCTTCACACCTCCTTAGTGGCATAGCGTGGGTTGCTAGTGCCCAGGGCCACACAAGGAATGGGAGGGGAAAAGATGGAGTACACATGCATATTCAACTGCCTAATTGCGTCCACATCACCCAAGAGATCTCAGCTGCAGAGATAAGAAGAGTTGCTTTGTTGTCTGGAGAGGTCACTCCTGGTTTGCATAGAGAAGACATTGCAACAGAGTCCAGTGATGAAAGCACACCCTAACAATTTTGCACACAGGGCGACCGCTCCTGTGCCCCCTCCATGCTATGCCACTGCATCTCCTGTTAGCAAACTTATTATTGCCACACACCAATTATGCACATTTCTCTCTATGACGCTGATGTGGCAAAACAGCTGCCTTTGCCAACAGGCAAATGGTACATAGTTGGTGGCTGGGCCCTTGGCTATTGGTAGCAGACACAGATAAGAAGTTCTCTGCACTATAGGAAGGCAGCTTCGCTACCATGGTCTACCTCAAAGGGAGAGGTCATAATTCAGTGGTAGAGCACCTGCTTCGCATGCAGTAGGTGGAAGTTCCAGGGTGCTTGGCTAAGAAAATGCCACACCTGAAGCTTCAGGAGGTGGGGCTATTACTACTGCCAGTCAAGCAGACAGTACAGAGCCAGGTAGACCAATGGCCTGCATCTCACTTGACATTGCAAATGGGAATGCCCCATAGGAAGCCATTGTGCCAGAGCAAAGGAGGCAGGTCCTCCTACAAGGGTGTGTTGTTTAACAGGATAGAGAAGGGCAAAGAAGAGACTTGTTCCCACGACAGAGTGCCACAGTTTGGGGACTGAGAGGCACCCTTCTGCAGCTTGCCAGTGTCTCCACATAGGGTCACCGGTGGGGTCCAGTTCCCCCAGAGTGGGTGAGTGGCATGGATATACCTAAGGCTGAAGCATTTCTTAGCTGTGCCCTGAGGACTTCCCAGTGAGGGAGGCTTAGTGGGTAGGTGGGCCTAGCTTCCAAGGTCTTGTGGTGTAGCCAGAGTGATTCTAAAATGCAAAGGAGGCAGAGATGCAGCAGCCAAGGATGCTACAAGGGCTCCTCTTCTGCCCCATTTCCAAGTGCAAGGACCAATCCAATCCATTCCTGGTCCAAACTGCACAAACAGGTGACCTTAAACACTGAGAAGTGGTCTGTTCCCTTTTGGCCAATGCAACCTGATCCCAAGAGCAGTTCCAGAGCTTGAGCACAGCTGATTCTCTGGGGAGGACATAATCACACTCCACACTCCTCCCAGATGCTCCATTCCAGGCCCAGCATCAGTCGCATCAGCCCCCAGAGGCACAAGCCAGAGTCCAAGAGGCACTGACAGCAACAGCAGCAGCAGCAGCCCAGAAGTACCAGAAGAGGGGAGAGGAAAAGGTTGTCCTTTGCCACACAGTCATCCTGATGGCCCATGAGCAGGAAAATGCATCTGGCCACCACAGCCTCCATGAGGACCTTTCCATGGGAAGACAGATGTGGTGCTGGGGGCAGAAGAAGCCCTTCTTTTCTCAGTCAGTCTGGCTCTGGCTCTGGAATGGAAGGAAGGAAGGAATGAAATGAGCCCATGGAAAGCAGCTGCTTCCTCCCCACAAATGAGGAAAAGCAAGAAAGGGGCACCTGCTGCCAGACTGAACTTTGGCTACTCTGGAATGTGCAAGCTTTTATGAGATCTAACATAAGCAGTCAAGTACAGTCATACCTCGGGTTGAAGTAGCTTCGGGTTGAGCGTTTTCGGGTCGCGCTCCACTGCGACCCGGAAGTAATGGAATGCGTTACTTCCGGGTTTTGCTGCTCGCGCATGCGCAGATACTCAAAACGACGTCATGCGTATGCGTGGAAGCAGCAAATTGTGACCCACGCACACACAGACATGCAGACGCGGGTTGCGTTCGCTTCAGGATGCGAACGGGGCTCCGGAACGGATCCCGTTCGCATCCAGAGGTACCACTGTACAACACTTCCTGTTTGCCCAGAGTGGACACACAGGGGGGTGTTGCTCCAGCCAGGAGGACTTCTTGTCACACCTGGTCTGGAGCATCCTCCCCCTGCATGTGACCAGGTAGATGGGCATGACCCTTAGAGACCCCATAAAAGGGCTGGTCACACAGCCACCTTCCTCTTTCTTCTTCTTCGTTTTATTCCATCTCGATGCTTTTGCTGTGTGCTGGCTCTCAGCCAGCAGCACATGGGCTCATTCCCATAGGGGCTGAACTCAAAAACTGTTCTGTAGCTACAAGCTAAAGCGGGTCTTCAGGATCATACTGTGAACTGAATGTAAGTAAACTTCGTGTTTCTTTTAAGAAAAGACTGTTGTGTCTTTATTCTTTTTAAGAGGTAACAGAGGGTATTTACCAGGAACAAACCCAATCTGGACAAGTCAGATTGGATTGCTTAAGTAAAGAGATTCAAATGAATCTACCAACTAGCTTCCTGCAACATACTGGGGAATGTACTTTAATCAATATGTCCTCTCCTACTATCCACAACATTCCCACACTTTTGAACTCCCCAGGGCATCTTCTTCAGGGCAATGAAAAGGAGATGCATTCAGTTGCAAATATAAGTTTCTGTCCACATGGGCATAGCCAGGGGGGCAGGGGAGCAGCTGCCCCACACTAAATCAATTAAATATTATTAAAAATTAATTAAATCAATTAAAAATACTTAGCTAACTGACCAATTGTGTTGCCAATAACTCAGTTCTCTCCCCCAACATAATGCCCACCCCCCTCAAAAAAAATCCTGACTACGCCCATGTCGGTCCACCTTTGTAGGACAGAAGATGGGTGAAGAATGGCTTTGGCACTAGCTATTTCAGATCTGTCCCCATAACATGACCTAGAAGTTGCAATGACTCAAGGACGTGCTTCTCTCCCACTAAGAGGCATGTTCGCTGGCTCAGGAGTTGCTGGACAAACCTCTGATCTTTAAGCAGAGCATTGAAGAAACATTTTGCAACCATTTCCAGCGCATCTTCACCTGTAATCTGCCTGCCCGTCTCCTAAGCTAAAAGAAGTCAGCCGGGCCCCAGCAGGCTCCTCACATGCTCCCTTACCTCCATTTTGCTGTAAATCCAGCTAAGCAGCTTTGTGACCTTCGTGTAGACACCAGGCTTGTTCTTCTGGCCACAGCCAGTCCCCCAACTGGTGATGCCAGCCAAGTACCAACGGGAGCTGTCATTACAGACCAGGGGGCCTCCACTGTCACCCTGGGACAGAGAGAGAACGTCAGTGGGGCAAGATGGAACCAGAGGCTGGGAAAGGGTGGAGCAGAAGCCACCTGACATTTGGGTCCCCCAGGAGATGTCGGCCACAGTGGCTTGTGAGCAAGGCCCATGAAGGCACCACATAGGGGGACTTTCCACTGCAGGCCTAGAATTTGACAGGATGTGTACCCTGGGTGTAACCTCTTCTCATGGCAACACAGCAGGCAGTCACCTGTCCCAATGTTTTAAAGAGATGAACAGGACTTGTAATTTATTGAGCCCTCTATCCCCAGAAAACACAGCCTTTTAGGGACACCTCATGTCAGGGAATGGTCTGGATCTGAAGATTGGGGAATGCAGTCGCAGGCAGATCAACTCCTCACAGAAGTGGAGGGGGAGTATTCCCCCTGCCCCCCTGCCTCCTGCATTTTCAGAAGCAGAGAGAGAGCCAGACACAGACACAGACGCAAAACAGCTTAGGGAGGAGTTACCCAGCTATGAGATAATGACAAGAGATCCAAAAGGGAGGGAGCAGCTGGGAGACACATCAGTTGAGAGCGTGGGGGACCCTTCCTCCCCACGGACTTGAAGGTCTGCACAGAGAACAAAGGAGGCAGGGAAGGGAAGGAACTTCTCATTGGTGCACTCCTTGCTTCGGAAGTAGGATTCAAAGTAGGCAACTGATCTCCTTGCGGAGAATTGTGTGTTTGTGCTTGCAACATGATGCTGGAATAAAGGGACTATAAACCTATCAACTGCTCGTTAATTCTTATCTGTGAAGCTACCAAAGGGAGAGGGGAACTCTCCACGCTTGACACCTCTGGTCAAAGCATTCCACTTGGTGCTCAGTGCACCCACCTCAGCCCCTGGGCATTTGGCACTTGGCTCCTGGCACCAGTGAGAAGATGATGGGGGATGACCAACCTGAGGGCCCATGGGTACTCTTGAAACCACACCCCCTTGCCTTCTTTCAGCAAAATACCAATCTCACCTGGCAAGCATCTCTTCCCCCTTTCAAGTACCCAGCACACATCATCCGTGGGGTCAGGTAGTGGTCATAGACATTCTGGCTGTTGCAGAGTCTGTAGTCAATTATCTTCACCTCTGCCTCCCGCAGCTTTGGCGATGTATTCTCTGAAATAAGCAGGCCATGATGAGATGGAGGAGCTCTCCTGGGCACACCAGCACCTCCTGTTGGAGTTTGCTCTGCAGCTGGCTTGGGGTCCTCTGCACCCCTCAAGCTGCAGCTCTACAACCCATCAGATGAAGAACCCCCACCCCAATTTACCTTCATTCTCATTTGTCTTGCCATAGCCTGTGATGTAGCAGGTCCTCCCAGGCAGGAACTTCTGATCAAACATGGGGAGGCAGGCTGGGCGGACATTGGCTGAAGCAGAGAGAAGAGAGAGAGATTACCGTAGTTTCCCCTTGAGGGGGAGGCTGTGGGCTTGTTTCACCAAGGGACCTCAGCACCAGGAGGGAGGAAGGTGAGATGTGGCAGCATAAAGTCAGGGAGCTTTACCTGGAGGGAGGAAGGTGAGATGTGGCAGCATAAAGTCAGGGAGCTTTACCTGATAAGGTCAGAGGCTTCGAGAGCTTCAGCAGTGCAATGTCAAAGTCATCATGATCATCATCGTATTTGGCATTGATGATGATGTGTGAAACAGGGATGCCCGCGGTAGGCAGTTGCTTAAGGTTGGAGGCCCCAGCATACACCTTCCACTGGTCCAGGATCTTCACACTATTCCTTAGATGCCCAAAGGATGAAATGTCACACAGGTTAGGGTAGAGTCGCTTCTGCTTTGGCCCAAAGCCATCTTCCTCAGCAGGAACGTGTGCTCAGAACATGAATTATATGTGGCAGGGGTGCATGTGAGAGGGAGGGAGAACGTGCTTTGGATCAGGACTGGGTGCCAGGTGATGCAGCTACTTTATCAGAAAGAGAGGCATGGAGGGGAGGCAGGGGGCAAAAAGGACAGGGCAGGGGCTGGTGGGGCTTACGTTGCAGTTGGGAGGAAGCTGCAAGCAAACGGGGGGGGGGGGAATGAGGAAGAGAGTGGAGTGGGGTGACCTGTCCAGGGAAGTGGGCATGGCATCTCCTGCCTTGCAATAACAGGTGGAGTAGGTATCAGGGATGGGATGTCAGAGTAGATAGACCACTTCCTTCCTTCCTGTTGGACCTTCTGGATTCATTGGATCTCATTCTCCAGCCTGCCATGATATCCCTCAGAACTACATGTAGCCACAGTGGAAACCCAGAAGGTCAATTTCCCCCTGCAGATCCAACTCAGCCCCCACCTCACAAGTTTTGGCCAGGGATGCCACTTACATGAAGAAGCAGTGAGCTGCTGTGAGGACCCACTGAGGATCGATGATGGTCCCTCCACAGATGTGAATCGACCCATAGTGCAGGCTCACTTGCCAAGGCCACTTATTGATTGTTGTTTCGTTGCCTTCAATAATGCGGCCAGACATTGTTTGCCCGCAGTCTACAGGGAGAGAAGACATGTAAGAATCATAGAATTGTAGCATTGGAAGGGACCAGGGGTGCTGGAAGGGCAAGCAGAGAACTCTTGCGCCCCAGGCGAGCTTGTGCCCAAAAGATGCCATGGTGAGATCTGGCATTGCACAGTTCTTTGTATCACCCAAGGCTTCCTTTAACTCTTCTCCTCCTGCCCTCTCTCTCTAGTGATGTGCCACTCCCATCTCTTGGCCCACCCAGGGACTTTCCTGGGACTGGGAAGCAGTAGATGGAGACAATGACAGGCAGAGAGGCAGAGCAATGGGTGCTAGTTTTGTCTCCATCCCCCTCCCAGATGAGTTTCACAATAGCAACATGGAGACCAAGGAGGAGGAAGCTCAAAGCCACACCCACCCTCTGGGCTGCATATGGGAAGACAGCTACATAGGTAGGTGGAGAGGGTGGCCGAGGTGAGTGGGTCAATGCCCATTTGCCCTAATAGACCATCCACCACTGGAGGCTCCTATTTCTCACTCACACCTCTCTGCTGTGCTGGGCCCATGATGCTTCTGCGTAATGAAGGGACTGGGCAATATATGGTCAGGCAGGGATCACTTCAGGGTAGCTCACAGCTCAGTCTCTTGGGTATAGCAATGGAAATAACATGAGATCCAGGAGGGGACCCTCCCCACCTACCTCCCACCTATATAACAGCAAAGTCTCCTTACTTGTGCATCGGAGGGAAACATACTTTCCAGTGCCACATTGGGACCTTGAGGAGAGACAAAAACAGACTCAGTTAGGTTTCAGAGGATGGGTCCAGCAGGCTGCAGAGTCAACACAATGGGATTCCCTGGCCAAGAGAATTGAGGTGGGGTAGGATCATGTCTCCAGGAGCCAGCCAGCCACCTAACTTACACATGGAGGTGCCAGGAAGGACCACATTCCTCCTGAACCACAAATGGGCTTTCTGAGCACCTGTGTGCCAAGAATAAGCAGGCTTGGCTGGAACAGGCATGGAAAGGGATCTCCATCCCTGTGCTAGACAGCCCAGGGAATCAATGATCCAAACAGCGCCCAGGCAAAGGCCGATGCCAAGGGGGAGAAAGGAGTGCCACATCCATCAGGTGAGTTTCCCCAACTTTGTGTTATCCTCCCAGCAGATTGATCTAAGAAACAGTGGCTTTCTCAAGGCCTCCTTGGCTAAGGGAGGATTTGAGCCACCTCGCTTCTCAAAGTTCAGCATTTTTCATGGTTCCACTGACTCTCTTAAACCAGACTTTTCGAGGGTTAAGGGGCCCCAGTCAACATATAATAAACCTGGCAGACTTAGCTGGAGTTCTTTTGCCATTTCTAGTTCTTAGTTAAATAAAACACATTTAAAAGAGTTGCGGGATGGCGATCTCACATGCTCCAATATGTATCAGGTGAGCCCGTAATGGCCATTTCCTCATTGCAGTTCAGAAGGGCAGACTCTAGCCAACAAATTGCCTCCCTAGTCTTGGGAGGGTGGTCAACAAAACACTTGGTTAAGCAATAATTGTTAATTTATGTTCTGGAACTCACACATTTTAAGGTGTGAAAAGTCTCATTTCTCACAGCTCCTTTGATGTTAGGATTTTGTTCTTTAAAGGGAAGTAATGCCTTGAATAATTTTGCATAGCAGATGGCACCATTGTCAGGAAGCACATGGTAAACTGATCTCCTGTGAAATTCACAGCTTCAGCTAACAACATCTTTGTAATCTGGCCTGAGAGAGACACAAATCTGGGGGATCTTTCTGTACACAAACACACAGACACCATTTAAACAATGTTCAAAAGTTACACAAGACTATATACAATAACCACACAGAAATCATGTACTTTAGGGTTAGATTCAGATCCCAGACACATGTAGAATAGACCCACGGAAGATCATGGGACTTAAGTTAGTAATGAAGAATTGAACTTCTGTTGATGGTTAAGCATGATGGGAAATCTGGAACCAGCACACAGGAAAGTGCCCTAGACCAGATCAGTCCATTCATCCACGTGGCCAAGCAGCTGCCCAGGGTCTTGGACAGCGGCAAGCGGTGGGGTGTATTTCCTTGATTCTTTCCACTAGAGCAGGGTGATCCAATATATGGCCCTCAAGGACTTTTTTGGCACCCTCTGCAAACATTTGACACACACACAGCCCTTGCACTGTCTTCCCAAAGCCAGTTAGGTGAGTCACTGGACTTTGTAAAGGAAGGATGAGAGCTCTGACAGGGTCCTAGAGTCCTCCAAACTCCTTCTTAAAGGCTAGTTAACACTTCCCTAGCTTTGGGAAGGAAGTGGAAGGACATAGGTGTAGCCGGGGGGGGGCAGCTGCCCCCCTAAATCAAGTAAATAAATAAAATTTGTTAACTAACTGAGGTTCTGCCCCCCCCAACATGAAACCTGCCTACGCCCATGTGGGAGGGCACCCTGCCAGAGCCCCGCACCTCCTTCCCAAAGTCTGGTGCCTTGCTTAGGCAGTGTATGGTCTGTGGGTTCCATGTTGAAGTTGAACCCAGTTGGGCCACCCTGAACTATAGTTGCTGAACTTCCCTGCAGGAGGAGGCCCATCCAGGATTGCATGATGAGTTGCTGTATGGCAGGAAGATCTAAGGATACCTAGATATGGGGTGGATTTGTGGCAATGGAAGGGTGCAGCCCTTGGCATTCTGGGTAGGCAAGCAAGAGAGGGAAGAAGCTGGAATCGTACTCATTCTAGTAATCCCTCTGCCCCCCCATGTACTGCTTGTGTTATGTGTGTGGTGTGTGTGTGTAGGTGCATTTAATGAAATCTACAATCCCCACCCCCTGACTCACCCAAATTTTAGTCAAACCATGCCCCCTACTGCAAGCTTCTAGAAATAGTCCCTGGGATCTGTCACAGTTTGTTTACGGCAATAGCAGAGCCAGTCCTATCATTTGGTATAGGGACACAGCTGCCTCAAGCGGCAATGAGCTGGTGGAGAAAGAGCCATGTGCACCACACAGTCAGTTCTGCATCCCCTAAGCTCACTTCCTGCCCTCAGGTGCAGTAGAGGGCATGAGCCTCTTCTCCAGCCATGTTGAAAGAAGATTCAACAGCCAGTTTGGTTGGTTTCTGTATCAGAAATGGGGAGGTGAGAGTTGCACCATCTAGACCTTTGCCTAAGGCAGTGTTTCCCAACCACTGTTCCGCGGCACACTAGTGTGCCGCGAGATGTTGCCTGGTGTGCCGCGGGAAAAATTAAAAAATTGAAAGATTTTTTTAAAAAAAGTCAAATTTTCGATTGGGGCGCCATCACTAGATGACCCCTGGGGTTCCCTCCCTCCCTCCCGCTCTGCGCCTCCCTCCTCCTCCGGGGAGGCCCTTCCTGGCTCTCGGCCAAGGCTTGGCGGCTGCCACTCACTCACTCGCTCGCCCACCCGTCCCTCCATCCCTGCACCCGGCCTCTCCCCCTCCGTCCCCGGCGCGGGGGCTGCCGGGATCCGTAGTCCCCTCGCCCTTGGGCTCCGCGCCCGCGCGGGGTGCGCGAACTACGTTTCCCAGCGTGGCCTGGCGGGCCGGGCGTTTTGTTTGAAGCGCTCTTCTCCCGGCCATGGAATGAGCGCGGCGGCGGCGGCCGGGTGGGCAGGGGCTCTTCCGCGCAGACCCCGCGCAGCCTGCCTGCGCCCCCGTGGAGACCGGGCGGCAGGATGGAGGCCGGGGATCCCCGCGGAGGCTGCCCCCCAGATAGGGCTGCGTCGGGGTTTTTTTATTTTTGCAATGCTGCATCCGCACCTTGGCGGGCGTGCAAGGCAATGCATGCGTGCAGGCATTGCATGGAGTGCAGTGCAATGCAATAGCAACGCGGCGCCCTGCATGCATGCATGCAACTTCCACCGGCGCTCTGGACTTGGCAGGTGAGGGGGGTCCCCAGTGGGCGGCAGAGAGAGCCGGGAGGGCGAAGGGGAGCCGGGGGGAGCAGCGCTGCTCCCCGAGCCGAGCCCGGGGGGAAACTTCGGCATCGTTGCGCCGGGTGTTGGAAGCGGAGGCTGGCGGGGGCCCCTCACCTGCAAAACCTGGTCACCTCTCATATATTTCGTGCATTGCATTCATCGCCCGCTTTCTCCTCCAAGGAGCTCCCGGGGGCGCGCGTGGTTCTCCCCGTGTTATCCTCGCAACAACAGCCCTGCGAGGTGGGTCAGGCGAGTGGCCCAAGGGAGCACCCAGGGATTGTCCTGGCCAGGTGGGGTGATTTGAACCCTGCTCTCTGCCCGGTCTTCGTCCTCATTTAGCCCCCACATGTGCATGACTGTGCATGACTGAGGTTTTCCCCCCTCGTCTTGGCTATGGTGTGAGTCTGTGCTGTTAATTAATGGGGTTCTGCCTTCGGAGAAGATGAGCCAGCCCTCAAGGAGGTGATTATGTAATTTGCTAGCAATTCATGTCCCTCCCGGCGTGACGCTGCGCGCTGACGTCACGGGGCTGTAATGGTGGTGTGCCTCGAGATTTTTTTCATGAAACAAGTGTGCCTTTGCCCAAAAAAGGTTGGGAAACACTGGCCTAAGGTATGAAAATCTCCTGGGCTGACCCCGCAGGTCCCAGGATTAGAGAGGGGCCAGTGCAGCCCCACTGCCAGTCTACAAAGGGGCAATCAATAACAGCCAACCAATCTTAGCAAGGGGTTGCTACCTTGTCTCAGAATCTCACCGATAGGAGGGAAGGGCTGTCCTCTCCCCTTTCCAAAGACCACTCTTTGCTCCCTTACCTTCTGAGGCTCTGCTGGATTGTGTTGTTCATTTCTCTGGCTGTGAAGCTGTTCCCAGACCACGAGAGAGGGGCATAATCTGTTAGGGAGGCACTGGGGAGACAAAGGAGGCTGTGGTCAGGATGTGAGAGCCGATCTTTGGGGCGCAAGGCCTATCTTGGAGCAGCCCCAGCATGTGTTTGTACTAGACAGAGGCAGTGGCACAGTGGATGAGATGGAAGGTGGAGGGGGTGTCTAGAGATGGAAGGTGGAGGGGGTGTCTAGAGATGGAAGGTGGAGGGGGTGTCTAGAGGGGTCTGCCCCCGAGGGAAGCAGAGGGATGTCACCCCCGCCTGGGCCTCCACTGCCTGAGGGAGGGGGCACCCCACATAGAATCACAGAATTGTAGAGATGGAAGGGACCCCGAGGGGCATCTAGTCTAAAGCCCTGCAGTGCAGGAATCTCAACTAAAGAAGAGAAGAAGAGTTTGGACTTGATATCCCGCTTTATCATTACCCTAAGGAGTCTCCAAGCGGCTAACATTCTCCTTTCCCTTCCTCCCCCACAACAAACACTCTGTGAGGTGAGTGGGGCTGAGAGACTTCAGAGAAGTGTGACTAGCCCAAGGTCACCCAGCAGCTGCATGTGGAGGAGCAGGGAATCAAACCCGGTTCACCGGATTACGAGTCCACCACTCTTGACCACTACACCACCCTGGCTCTCACTAAAGCATTCATGGTCATCCAGCCTCTGCTTAAAAACCTCCAAGGAAGGAGACTCCACCACCTCCGGACTGTTCCACTGTCAAACAGTTCTTACAGTCAGAAAGTTTTTCCATATGTTTAGTCAGAATCTGCTTTCTTGTAACTTGAAGCCATTGGTTCGATTCCTACCTTCCAGAGCAGGACAAGAAAAGCTTGCTCCCCTTTTCCAGGCTAAACATACCCAGCTCCTTCAACCATTCCTCATAAGGCAGGGACCCTTTTATCTCCTCCTTTTTTGCTGGAAGAAGCAGGTAAGCCACACACCCTCCCTGTGGGATGGCAGCGAGGAGGCGCCTGGCGGCAGATGCTTGGGAAACTGCCCCAGGAGGAGGAGTAGGGTTGTCTGCTTGTCTCTCTCCGCTCCCGTCTGCCTGCTGCCCCCACCCAGGACTTACTTGAGGAATCCGAGCTGCCGGCAGGTCTTCCTGGATAAATCCTCCGTCCAGTCTTTGCTGCACACGGGCAGCCACCTATTCTGGGGCCCCGAGTAGACCTGGAGAAAGGACTCGTTCCCGGCGAAGCGCACTGCAGAGCCGGAGAGGAGGAGCCAGTGAGGACCACGAGGAAGAAGAGGAGGAGGAAGACTCAGCTTCAAGCCCGTCTCTCGCCGGAGTAAGCAGGAGACCCGGCCGAGGCCACCTTCCCGACCCGGCGAGCCCTTGCCTGGCCCCAGCTCCGCAGGTCGCCCCACCCCACCACCCTCCCTCCGCACCCCCGGGGAAGGCATTACCGCAGTCCAGCTCGTCGCTCCGCTGAGAGCAGTCGGCGACTCCATCGCAGCGCACCGCGTGGCTGTCGCATTTCTCCTCCGGCTCCTTGTAGACGATGCCTGTGCCGGAGCGCCAGAACAAGACTGCGAGGGGCAGAGAAAGAGGGAGAGGGATTCATGAATCTCACCCTCTTTTCTCTGAGCTGAGCTGAGCTGCGTTGACAGATTGTCTCGGCTTCTGTGTTTACGCTCCCGTGTTCTTTGCCACGGCTTGTCCACCAGGTGTCAGGAAAGCTCCAGCAACCAGCAGAGGGAAGCTGTTATGCCCTGAAGGGAATTCCAAGCCTTCAGAAAACACCGCCTCTCTTGTCAGGGCTTCGTGATCCTCGTGACCTCCAGAGGATAACGAGGACACTCTCCTCCCACACAGAGCATGTGGTCAAAGTGAGCATGACGATCCCTCATAAACTAAATGACACCAAAAGTGCTTCTATATTAGATGCTGACCACACTCTGTTCATTTTTTAAAAACAAAACAGGACACCTGCCTGATACAATCATCAAAAGGTAATTGGGAAGGTGAAAAGAGCCCTGCAGCTGCCACCAGGCCCAAGGCCCAACCGGTCTATGGCAACGGTCAACTTCATGCGGGATCTGAGAGCCTCGGCAGTCCTCTATCCCCTCCTAATTCCCAGCAACTGGGGTTTACTGTAGTGGTTAAGAGTGGTAGTCTCATAATCTGGTGAACCGGGTTCGATTCCCTGCTCCTCCACATGCATCTGCTGGGTGACCTTGGGCCAGTCACACTTCTCTGAAGTCTCTCAGCCTCACTCACCTCACAGAGTGAGGGGGAGGAAGGGAAAGGAGAATGTTAGCCGCTTCGAGACTCCTTTGAATAGTGATAAAGCGGGATATTAAATCCAAACTCCTCCTCCTCCAATACTGGAAGTTCCCCCAATGCTTTCCTTGTGCTCCTCCCATGTTCATCAGCTTGCAGAAAATTCCGCTTAAAAATATAGGTGAAGGAAACAAAAGAATAATCTATACCAGTGTGGATCGCCTTCGGCCAGGGCTTTTTTTTGCAGCCGGAACTCACTGGAACTCAGTTCCAGCACAGGTGGGCGCTATTGCCATTATAAGAGAACAAGGGAGGCATTCGTGGCAAGTTCCTGCAGATCTTTTTCTAGAAAAATAGCACTGACTTTCACACTGTGCTTACTGCCTTGTGACATATGTACTGGGCAGGGGAGCCCAACACATCATTTTCACAATTACTTTCCTGGTCAGTGCTATTATTGTGGCACAGATTTTTAGAACCTGACCTTATGCTAAAATGGTTTTGTTTTTGTTTTGCCTATATAAAAAAAGATTCATGCAGTGGAGCTCAAATGGAAACATTTTAGATTTTTTTTTTTTAATTACAAGAATATTTCCCAATTGGCACCATTTTAGGAGTGACAGCCTCCTCATATTTTAATGAGTGCAAAAACACCTATATTAGAAAAACAACAACACTGTAATAACACTTAAATGAAAAATCCTTTTATGTGCAATTTTCAAAAAGGATTTTTCTTTTTAAAAACCACACTGATCAGGTGACAGCCACTCTCTTTCCTGTACAGATGGCTATGCCATGGTATGGAATGGGAGCAGAACACAGTGGGGTGTGTGCACAGAACAAGTGTGGGACCTCTGAAGCATGGATAGTCAGTTGTCACGGCATTCATAGCTTACTGAGAAGATCAACAAATGGGCAGCCTTAGGAGCCACCTTCCTGAGACCATCCAGCAGAAGGAGGATGGGATGGATGCCAAGGAAAGGGAGCCTGGCCTGCAGCTGCTCCCCCAACTTCTCCCTTCCCAATTGTTGACTCCAAAACAGAAGAGAAAGAGAAGAAGGCTCCAGCCAGTGTGTCCTTGTGAGGGAATGTGGGCTCTCAGCCAATTTCCCAAGGAAGGGAGGAGCCATGAATCCAGGTCACATCTAAAACTGGGCGGCGAGTTCTCAAGACAGGCTTGGCAGAGTCAGAACCCTGAAAAATGGGGCACCCGGTAACACCATGTCATTTGCATTTATTTGCCTGTTCAAACTGCTTGTTGCCTTTGCGTTGCTTCCTCATTTTAAAATCACAACTGGTAAGCCTCTTATACACACCATACATTTAAAACACATGACTTCCCCCAAAGAATCCTGTGAACTTTAGTTTACTCCCACAGAGCTACAACGCCCAGAACCTTTAACGAACTACAGTTCCCATAATTCTTTGGGGGAGGTCATGTACTTTAAACGTATGGTGGGTACATAGTCTTAAGAACGTGAAAGAGGAGCAAGGAAGAAGAATGCACACAGGTGTAAGGGACAGCAGGGCCCCTCCCATGAGCCACAGGACTCTCGGCTCTTCAAAACAGATGGAAGAACTCCAAGGGCCAAATTTACCCACCCACCAGGGTATCTGTCATGTTTCCTGCCCTGCAGCAAAAGGAAGGCGAGATGACGTTTGGGTTGTTGTGTGTCTTCTGCAGCACATACAGGCCCCTCAGTCAAGTATTTGGTTTCTGGCTCAGTCCCTCCTTGTCATACTGCAGATTAGTTATTTACTCTCACACCCAAACAGGACCCCAGGAGAGAGAAAACAGAAGCTTCTACGCACAAACACATACCAAAACAACCTCCCCCATCTGGCACACTCCAGATATTTCAAACTACAACTCCCATAATCCCCGGGCAGAATGGCTGTGCTAGCTGGGACAGGATGGGAGTTGTAGTCCAAATAATTTGGGGTGGTAGACGAGAGGTTTGGAAAGAAAAGATTCTGTAAATTCATCCCCACCCTAAAAAAATAAACGTTAGAGGGGAAATAATATATGCAAACCTAAACAACCTGATTTCTCAAAAAAAAAAAATGAGAAGAAAAGACTTTTCTACCTCTCAAGGCCCCTGTGTGTTTTGCCTAAGGGGACACAGAGAGATGAGTAGCTGCAGCTGGTTTTTGTAGTTCCAGCGATGGGGGAAATCAGCCACTGTGTATTTCTTCTTCCCAAGGCTCTCTGGTGAAACCTGATGCCTGCCTAGCACCTAAAACAACCTCACTTGAATGTCTTCTCCATCCTCCCCCCACTCTGTTTTAAGACTGCAGCCAGGTGGAGACTCCATAGCTTCAACATAAGCCAAAAAAGTTCCCTCTCTCCCCAGTTCATTTGCCATCTAGCCTCAGGTCTGGAGATCTCAAAAGCTCACACTCTGTTTTGTAATATTTTGATTGGCCTAAAAGGGAATTGCCCCAATATGAATTTGGGGGGAAATATATTCAGGGACAGGGACGTGGGTGGCGCCATGGGTTAAACTACAGAGCCTAGGACTTGCCGATCAGAAGGTCGCAGTTTGAATCCCCACGACGGGGTGAGCTCCCTTTGCTTGGTCCCTGCTCCTGCCAACTTAGCAGTTTGAAAGCACGTCAAAGTGCAAGTAGATAAATAGGTACCACTCCGGCGGGAAGGTAAACGGTGTTTCTGTGCCAGAAGCGGCTTAGTCCTGCTGGCCACATGACCCGGAAGCTGTACGCCGGCTCCCTCGGCCAATAAAGTGAGATGAGCACCGCAACCCCAGAGTCGGCCACGACTGGACCTAATGGTCAGGGGTCCCTTTACCTTTACCTATATTCAGGGATATTTTAAAAAATATCCCATAAATTGTATGAGATCTGCCCTCTTCTTCAAGCAGGATGTTCATTCCCAGGAATGAAGGAAGAGCAGAGACACATTCCTCCCCACCACAAACAAGAGGAGAAGGACTCACACAGCAATATGAGGGCCACCAGAAGCACAATGAGGATTAAGATGCAGACAATGAGGGCCAACCTCTTCTGGCCCATCCTCCAAGACGCCTTGAACGTTGGAGTGGAGGAGGCTGCGGTTGGAGAAAGAAAAGAATCAGATTGGTTACGATTATGAAATACCCCTAAAACATCCAGCTTTGCTATGGTTAAGTCCACACCATAGAAGGAAATTTTGGAGAGAGACTCTATTACAGCAAACCAGACTCACATGTCCAAGCAAAACTGAGTTGCAAGGAGCATCTGGCTAAATTAATTTGTCTCCTTTCGCTAAAGTCTGGACCATTCCTCCCTTATCATTTGTACATTTAAATGTAGAACTCCTTTGACAATATTCAACCAAGATATGGGGTCCCTCCTTCTACCCACAATTACTAATCAAGAAATTTCAATAGTCCAAGGCTCAAGCAGAGCCCAAAATGTATGTTAAGCTTTTCACCCATCTCTCCTGGACAACAGAAGAAGGTTTTCCGAGAAGACATTTTGCAAGCTTTTTCTTAAAGACAAACTCATCTTGACTAGCACTGTTTTAAAATCTTTACAGCCATCCACTGTTAGGAAAGCAGGATTTTGCAGTCTTTGTTTCTGTATTGATTTCTGAAGGCCAATTAGGTTCCTCATTCTTGGGGACACCTGCTTCCTTCCGTCCCCTGACTGTGCTCATTTCTTCCTTCTCTGTTGTGTTACACCTGAAATCTCAGAAGTCAAGAAGAGGAAGGGATGAGTTAACACTTTGCCTTTCTCCACTAGCCCCTTGAAAGCTGCAGATGTTCTTGACTCTGCCAGTCCTGCCTGGGATATACCATCCAGATTCTCCCACCTCAATATACATCCAGCAGCAGCAGGGGCTTCCATCAGGTGGCTTCCTTCTCCCCCACCCCACCCTCCATCTTACCCCTTGAGGTCTCGCGAGCCACGCAGGGCACAGGAGCCAGTCTGGAGTCTGTAGGGTAGGGTCTGAAGGCAACTCCTCGAATGGTCTCTTCTGGTGGGGGAGGTTGGGCCACGATGGGCAGGACAGATGATGAGGCACAAGAGCTGGGATTCAGGTTGGCATGATGCACGGTTGGAGTTTCCTGCAGGTAAAAAGGGTTCGGACTGAATAAAGGGTTCTGAAAAGGGTCTCGGGTCATAGCTATTTTTCTGATGGAGCCAAAGTTCAACATGACTGAAGCCTTTAAAAAACCCTCACTCATGTTGGAGAAGGTCGCAGCTTCAATCCCTGGCATCTCCAGGTGGGGCTAGGATTGTCCACTGCCTGGAATTCTGGAGTGCCAGGCAATGTATAGAATTCTGACATATACTCAGCTTCCTATGCTCTGCTCTTAGCGTTCATCAGTAGCCCTGGAGAAATGCCACCATTTTTAGTAGGTCTGACCTTGAAGGCTATAGAAGCATCAAAGCAGAGATGCCTCCATTGCAGGACCTGCCTGCCCACAAAGTGAGGTGAGGGGCAGGGCTGGATTGACCATTAAGCAAAATAAGCACAAGGGACGCGGGTGATGCTATGGGTTAGACCACAGAGCCTAGGACTGGCCGATCAAAAGATCGGTGGTTCGAATCCCCGCGACGGGGTGAACTCCCATTGCTCGGTCCCTGCTCCTGCCAACCTAGCAGTTTGAAAGCACGTCAAAGTGCAAGTAGATAAATAGGTACCGCTCCAGCGGGAAGATAAACGGCATTTCCGTGCTCTGCTCTGGTTCGCCAGAAGTGGCTTAGTCATGCTGGCCACATGACCCGGAAGCTGTACACCGGCTCCCTCGGCCAATAAAGCGAGATGAGCACCACAACCCCAGAGTCAGCCATGACTGGACCTAATGGTCAGGGGTCCCTTTACCTTTTTAAAATAAGCACATGCTTAGGGCATCAAGGGAAGGGGGAGGCACCGCATAAATTTTCCATTGCCAGATTTTTAGCATTAATGGTCATAAATTGTCCATTCATTTTCTCACTTGGAAGTGGACTCCTTATCTCTACTAAGTATAGAAGCAGATGTGTTGTGTAAGATTGGTTTTGAGGTTCTGATCAAAGACTTTGCAATTAGAAAAAATAGGAGAAATTTCCCAAAAAAAATATAAATAAAGTGGAAGTATACAAAAATAAACATTACCTTCCATCTCGCTGTAGGTTTCATTTTGAAAAAATATAATTTAATTTTATGGTTTATTATTGTTTATATTTTGAATTAGATATATATGGGGGCACCGAAATCTTTTAAGTGCTTAGGGCCTCTAAAGGTCTTAATCTGGCCCTGGTGAGGCAGTTGCCTCAGACAGCTCAAGGAGAACCCGGCCCGTCTCCTCCAATTCTGCACCACACTGCCATGCCCCCACTGCCCCCTCCTTTGCTGTGAGCATGCCCCCCATGGAGGCAGGGGTAGGGCACAGTTCTGGAGGAGGGGGAGGCAGTGGGGTGAGGCATTTTGCCCCAAGATGCAAAATGTCCCAGACCAGCCCTGTTCTATTGGCCAGGAGTCCAGGCTGCAAAGGGACCTCCAGAAATGTTTTCCTAAGCTGCTTCTTCAAGGGATGGGAACACAGGGCATCTTTGCAAAGAAGTCACCTGATTGATTCTGGTGTGACCTATGTGTGTGCATCTAGTTACTGCAGATGGCTCCCCCTCAATGAGGCCACCTTGTTGAGTCAATCGTTAGTATCTGTTTGAGCAACCAAGGGAGGGGGGATTGGGTGCTTCAGTTCAGGCACTTCCTTCCCTGGAAAGGCAGTGGCTGCCCCCACCTCTGCTTTGGGAACACACCTATAATAGCCAAGGACTGATTATTTGCATCTGCTTGCTACTGTCTTCCTTGCGGGCAAAGGCAGGCAAGTCTCTTAGGCAAGAAGCCTGGGGTGCCTCTGGCCTGTCACTTTTCCAGGAGGGATTCAAATGTGTTTGGGAACTTTAGGTTTGCACAGTTAAAGTGAATTAAACAGCTCTGTCACTCTAGCGCAGAAAATCCACTTCAAGAAAGCATCGAACTTTTTGCAGTTTGGAAAGTGACAGTGAAAAGCACTGGAAATGAGGGGTGATTGAATGCAGAAACACCCTGTGAGCACATTAGGATGAATTCAGGATAAATGTTAGCTGTTGTATAACAAATCAGAATGAAGGCTCAATAAAGACCAGACTGAGTCCATATCCGCACCATCTATTCAAAATACTCTTATATCACTTTTACAGTTGTGGACAGTCCTGGGAATTGTAGTTTGTTAAGGATGGTGGATCTATGAAGCCTACACCCTTAGCAAACTGCAGTTCCCAGGATACTTTGAGGGAAGCTATAGCTGTGGAAGTGTTGTAAGGGTGCTTTCAATGGATTGTGTGGATCCACAATTGACCCTCTGCTGTCATTTGACTTCCTAGGCCGGGAGGCTTATGGGCTGTTTTGTACATGCTGTTAGAAATATAAAAGTTTAATGTAGTGAGTGCAATGTGCTACTTTGTATTCTGTTCTTAGTAATGTTTATACGTAACTAGTTTTAAGACTGTTCTGTAGCAAAGCTTTGAAACTCATTCTTGGGGCGCAAAGCTCAGTTATCCAGATCAGGGATTCTGCTGAACGACTCCAACATGTGCCCCAGCCGAAACTATCAGCAATTCCACCCCTCTCCCCTGCAGCAACTCTGGTAGTGTAGGGAGCAGGTGACCAGCAGTGCCTGAGAAATGGTGATCCCAGTTCCAACCTGGCGCTTTTCTAAATGCAGGGATGCCTCCCAGGGCCATGGAATGCTGCTGGGCCATCATGTCACAACCAGGTGGAAAATTCTCTCTCTCTGAATCACTAACAACCTTATTAACTGGATCACCATCATCTTTTTCACAAGCTGCTGCTAGCCCTGCTGTGGGGCTTATAAGCCTGGTGTTGTATGTGGTGAAATGGGAGTGAGGGGAAGGTTTCACTCCCATGTCACTGCTGCAATTCAGTTTGCAGGACCTCCCTCCCATTACTGCTTTTAAGGGGAAATGAAATGGCCGAGAGACCCAGCCACAGACCTCCTGTGTCATCCCGTCTCCTTTTTGGCCCCAATGCAAGCTTTGGTTTGGCCCTGACAAGCTCCAAGAGGGCTTCTCAGTCATCAGTGCCACATATGGGGAAAGGCAGCCCTCATGTCAAAGAAGAGACAGAAGAACAGGGAACTGGCTGTTTCTCCAAAGGGAAATAGTTCCTGCTCAAGACAAAGAAGGCACAGCCAGAACTTTCTGATTTCTAAGCTTTTGTCAGAGGGCCAGATAGAAATTGCCTTCTGACTGTCAGCACAGCTTCCAAAGACCTGTTTCCTCTACGTGCATCAATACTTGAAGTTCTGATGGCTTGTCAGGCCTAGGATCTTTGGGCTGATCCTAAAAGGTGCTGAGCAGCATGAAGTCAGTGTGCAGAGGCTTCCACTGAGTTGTGTGGCTAAATATAGATAAGCAGACATGGAGACACACACAGGCTGAACCGCTTCCCTCCTCCTAAAAATGGGTGTGAATTGCTTGAACCCCTGGTCACATCAGAAAGAGGGCAATTAGATATTTGGCACGGACCCCCACCCACATCCTTTGGTCTAATTGGGAGGGAGGGGCCATGAGGCCCACCTACAAATGCAAGCACCACAATGGGCACACTGTGGGGCCAACCTTTCCACCAGGATCTTGTCTTGGGGTTCTCCTTGCAGCTGTCCCAAACCATCTGCAAGCACCACCAGCCTCAGGACAGCTACCCTGAAGTCCTGTGGTTTTACCACCTCCCGCAGCAGCAATCCTGATTATTCAGCTCCGGGAAGAAGAAAACAGTGGCTTTTGACCAAACATGAAAAGGGGGCAGAGGAGAGCACCAGGATGTTTTGGCTCCTGGCCTGGCAGGTTTGAAAAGTTGCCAGAAAGCAGTAGGGGATGGGGAGATTGCTCAGCATCTCCCCCAGGATACTATAAGGAACAAAGGGCTTTGGTAATGAAGGAAGCCTGAGGTTCAGACTTAGGAAGAAGAACTTGCAAACAATATTGTGCATTGGGCTAAGAAAACAAGTAGGGCTGGGCGGTATCTGGTTTTCAACATCAGGATCTATCACCAGCAACTGCCCCAGGATGCCAGCTGGTGGTGCTGAGGCTGCGAGGAAGGGAAAACAAGGAAGTATCAGGATGGGGAGAGCAGCCTTGTCTGTTGTCAGCCCCACAAGTGAGGTCTTTTTGCCCAGCTGGGATTCTCAGGACAAGGCTCAAGTCCACCTCCCCCCACCTCCAGCCTGTTGCCCTGTTTCAATCAGTCTCCACCCCTCACCCCATGACCCACATCAAGGCCCCTGCATCTCCTCCTCTGTTGACTTACCAGGCTCGCTGGTCTCTCTTCCATGGCCTCTTCTCTCTGCCAGGAGCTCTGGGTCACTGCCACCTCCCAGTGCCCATGGTGAACTGCCAAGGGTGGCCTTCCTGCTCACTCTTGGGCTGTGGATGCCAGCCAACCCAACGGAGTGGCAACTGTTCCGAATGGGGAGTCCGTCCGTCCGGGCCTGCCTGCCTGCCTGGCTCACTCCCTGTTAGCTGTGTGGCAACCACGGATGGAATCCAGGGAAGAAACTGGACCAACCTGAAGCGCTGCTGCTCAGCTCTGTGTTCCTTCCCTGCCAGATTCCCGGAGGCAGGTGGAAGGTGTTGCCCTTCAGGTGTGCTGGGACGGCTCCCACTGGGACAGCTCCCTCCTGGCTCAGAGAAGTGGCCCTTGAAACCCAGCTAGGGAGGCATCACACTGACCGCGCCATTAGCTCTTTGAGCCTGGAGCCTGCCTAGCCTTAGACCTTTAAAGAGCCTTCACAGGCAGGCAGGCAGGCAGTATCGGGGAGCCCCACCCACTTGAGGTCATCATCAGGAGCTGGGGAGGAGATGGTTTTCCTTGACTCAGGAGAGACAACAGCATGTCAGTTGGAAGGAGTAGCAGAGAGACAAATTACCTGGCCGGGGAAACCACCCAGGTCTGGGTCCTGCTGGGGAGCAGAATTTCTTTGGAAGCTGCTTCTGATCTCTGGAAGCCTCTCAATTGCCATTAACAGCACACAGAATTACAGTGGTACCTCGGGTTACAGATGCTTCAGGTTACAGACTCCGCTAACCAAGAAATAGTACCTCGGGTTAAGAACTTTGCTTCAGGATGAGAACAGAAATCGTGCTCTGGCGGCGCGGCGGCAGCGGGAGGCCCCATTAGCTAAAGTGGTGCTTCAGGTTAAGAACAGTTTCAGGTTAAGAACGGACCTCTGGAACGAATTAAGTTCTTAACCCGAGGTACCACATTATTATTATTATTATTATTATTATTATTATTATTATTATTATTATTACTATATTTATACCCTGCCCATCTGGCAGGGTTTCCCAAACCACTCTGGGCAGCTCCCAACAGAGGACTAAAAACAGAATAAAACTTCAAACATTAAAAACTTCCCTAAACAGGGCTGCCTTCAGATGTATTCTAAAAGTCAGATAGTTGTTTATTTCATTGACATGGGAGGGCATTCCGCAGGGAGGGCGCCACTACCGAGAAGGCTCTCTGCCTAGTTCCCTGTAACCTCACTTTCCGCAGGAACTGCAGTGATGGTATACTCTTTCCCTTTGGGTTCTTCTTCTTTTTAGCCATTGCATCCCCAGCAAAGATGCAAGCCCCTTACAACATTCCACATCTTTTGTTCACTTAGTCTCTGGGCCGCTGTCCTATCACCTGGCTAGCATCCAAAGGCAGCAGCAGGCAAAGGCTCAGTATCCCCCCTGGTTTCAGGAAAGGTGTGTACATGTCTGTATGTGTGTACGTGTGTGTGTGTGTGTGAATCCATGTTTGTGCTAAGGCAGAGTGAGTCAGCAGCGACCCCCAAGGCTTGGAGTTTGGGTCCCTTGGTGTCATTCAGTTCTGCCTTTCGACAGACACTGGACTCCCCAGAGAAGTTTGATTCAGCCAGACTGTCTTCTTTGATTGGTGAAGGGAGAAGGAGGTTCAAGAGTCAGGATGAGCTGGCTCCAGGGTGAAGAAACCATGGGAAAGAAATGGAAACACAGATTGCAAACTGGGCTTGGGAGGTTGAGAAGGGATGTCTGGTTTGCACACACTTGATTCCTGTGTGAGTCTTGGGGATAAGGATCACTGTCACCCACCCTCAGCCTTTAGAAGAGGGAGGGGCATGTATCCAGATGTATTTATTAATATTTGTTATATTTGAGGAATATATACTCTGCTTCTTTTTTAAAAAAATAATTCCTTGCATGGCTTTCAAAATCTTAAAACACCACAAAATGAATTTAATTATATATTAAAATACATATACAAAACCCCAGAAAAATCACTAGAAACACCATTAAAAAAAAACAGCAAACCCCGGCAAGTCAAAATGAAACAGACTGAACTAAAAGACAGGATAAAATAAAGAAACACCTTTGCCTGGCACTGAAATGACACCAGGATACGTATTAGCCAGGCAAGCCTCTCTGAGATGAGTATTTACTACTACTACTGCTGCTGCTGCTGCTGCTGCTGCTGCTACTACTATTGCAAGGAGCTCAAGGTGGCATACGTAGTTCTCCCCCTTCCCATTTTATCCTCACAACAACCCTGTGAGGTAGGTTAGGCTGAAATTGAGTGCGCTTCATTGTTGTGTGAAGATTTGAACCCTGGTCTCCCAGATCGCAGTCCGACACTTTAAGCACACTGAAGCAAGTCTGAGTGTAGCAAATGACAGATTATTTGCGTTTATTATAAGATTACCACTAAGGGGGTATTTACCTCAGGTAGCCTTGTGTTACCGACAACCCATCTCTGGAGCTCAAAAAAATATGTTGGGCATCTCAGAAGAGGATGGTGTTTCACATGAGTGGGGCCACTACTGACAAGGCTCTTCCTTGGCTGTTGTGCATATGATGGGGAGAGACCCCCAAAGAAGGGACTCTGGTGAGGAGCTTGCTGCCTGGACAATAGAGGCAACCCATCTCTCCAGCCAGGTACCATGACTAAACACTCAGAGATGTGTTTTTGACCAAAAGGTCCTGAGTAAATGTAGCAGAGTCACGGAATAAAATGAAGTGTCCTTGGATGAGTCAGTAGCAGATGAAAGGCCTCTTCTGTACTAAGTCCAAATGTGGGCTATATCCAGTGGGGGACGCCTGAGCCCTGTCCTTGCCTGCCACCAGGCTCAGCTGGTCATCTTGAGCACTGTTCGATGTTTTGCTGAGGTGCTTTTCCCAAGCACCAGCCTTACACAACCGGTTGATCGTCTTGTCTGGCAGAGCAGAGGGAGGCCGGAAGCACCTGAGGACGAGGAAGCCAATTACTGCTCTTACGTGGCAAAAGCATTACGAAAGCTGCTTCCCAGTTCACTCATCATACTGATGGGCTGGTGTCACAAGCTCCCACAGAAGAGACATTGGCAAAGACGGTTTCGGCCAGCCTACTCTGCAAGATGCAATGGCAACGTCAGGCGGAGGTAGGAGGCTGTTCCTGCCTCTTCAAGCCTCCAACCCATCTCTGTCTCTCACTGGGAGCTGAGCTGCAACAAAGAACAGGAGCAGGGCTCATATTTGGAAAGGCTCCTCGTTGCCATGGGAGCATATTTACATATTTACATATAAGCTAAACAAGCTATAGCTTAGGGTCCTACTCTCTTGGGGGCCCCAAAAAAATTTAAAGGGGGAAAAACTGGGTGCACATTTCCAAAATATAAGATAGAAAACAAATAAAATAAAACCTACATACAGTGTTTTGTGTTGTGTAGGCTCCTATGATGTAAGTAATGGGCCCCACCTGCTAGCCTGCTCCCTAAAATATCACTGGTTTGCTCATTTTCTATATACAGGGTACATACATTCTGCATGGACTGTTATGGGCAAATGGCTTTAGATACCTATTAGGTCCATAAAGCATATATTCAACACAAAGGACAGCGACAATTTGTTGTTGACAAAGGACAGCTGGACATATAAAGGGCCCCATTACCTTCAGTAGCTTAGGACCTCATCAAACCTAAATCTGGCCCTGCATGGGAGTCCTTGCTCTCACAGCACCAGAGATGTGAGGGCTGGCCACAGTTATGCAATGGCATTCTACACATGCTCAGAGACACCCTTCTTATTGTGACTCGACATATGTGCACAGCCCATGCCAAGTTTATATTGAGCATTCGTTCCAGTTTGTTTACAGGGCAGTTATAAAAGAATAAGCACTCGCCTTGATTTCCTTGTGGGGTGCTGACACATCTTCCAGGTAATCACTCACTCACCCTATATTTCTCTGTGCATTCCCCCAACACTTTCCCGAGTTAAAATGTCCCCCGCAGAAGGGATTAAAGCACGTACAACTGAAGAGGACTAAAGAGATCTATCGCCCAAGCACAATAAATCCACACACACAAAAATCTGGACTTTTTGCAGTTCAGAAAGTGATGGGAGTCTGCATTTTGAAGTGTGGGGTAATGAATTACCAATGGGAAGATATAGGAACACTCTGCAAGGACATCAGGATGAATGCTCAGTGAAGACCAGATATAGTCTAACCTCCATGTAAGCTTTGTGCTAGCAACTCAGAATAAATCCTCAATAGGTCATCTGAAGGAACTTCAAATATCACTTTGGGTTGCGGGGGTTTTTTTCAGTGGACATTATTATTATTATTATATATGTATTTATATTCCATCTCCCCACCCCCCAGACAGGGACTTGTTGTGCTAGGGCAACATAGCACTTTAATCCATTTTAATTGCACAAAACCTAAAGTTTCAATATGCACCCCAACCCCTCCCACACAGTATTTACAGTTTGGACACAACTATAATTATTTTCCATGTTTGTACAGTGGTACCTCAGGTTACATACGCTTCAGGTTACAGACTCCGCTAACCCAAAAATAGTGCTTCAGGTTAAGAACTTTGCTTCAGGATGAGAACAGAAATCGTGCTCCAGTGGCGTAGCGGCAGCAGGAGGCCACATTAGTTAAAGTGGTGCTTCAGGTTAAGAACAGTTTCAGGTTAAGAACAGACCTCCGGAACGAATTAAGTACTTAACCCGAGGTACCACTGTATTAATGCTTTTGAGTGTTTGAAGTGCTATGCCCAGTGGTGCACGCTTCAGCTGCTCACAACAGTCCTGTAAGGCGGGCTGCTGATACATTATTGTCCCATTTTGAGAATACGGGGGCAGAGACAGAGAGTGCTTTTGCTTGCAGCTACCATTTCACCAACAGAAAAAGCTGGTTCCAGAGCCATTGAATCCAACAGGAGGAGGCTAGGGTCCCAGTTACAGAAGGCAGAAGCTTTCACCAAAGTATGCACCAAGGAGGGAAGGAGGGCAGCACAGTCCAAACAAGCCAAGGTCAAGTGCAGTGAGTCAGACTAAGTCCAAAATGACCCATAGACAAAGTCAGGCAGCAACTCCAGGGTCAATATCACAGGGAGCTGAAGGCAGATACAGAAGGTCAAGACTCAGGAGCAAGGACCCAGAGACTTGTGCTGCTGTTAGC